AAAGGCTGTCATGAGAGAAAAAACAGGATGAAGGAACCATATTTACTATCTTCAGCTTCTAGAGGAAAGACAGGATACAAACATAGTAAAGTACATTAACTAAAAATGGTTAGGTCATGAGGCATAATTTGGCTAAAATTAGGCTGCAGAATGTGATTTCATTAAGCCCACTCTAACTAAGGAATTCACATTTGATAGACCAGGTACAAGATCTATGACTCCCTTTTTATGATTATTTTGGCCTAAGAGTATGTCCATTAAATCTGATGGTAATAACATTATTAATGTCAAAAACAAGAAGCCAAATACCAGTTTTTTTTTTTTTTTTACTACAATTGGTGTTATAAACTCATTGCCTTAAACTATTCTCTGATATATTCAAATAAAATCTATAACATTTCCTTTCAGATTTTCCCCAATCTCTGTTTCACTCTTGGTTTTTGCTAAGACAACACTTTACCACCTTCAAAAAAAACTTTTTTAAACAGTGTTTAAAAGCCTTGTTCAGAAGGGGTGTGGATTCGTGCATATGCATCAAAGATTCATTAAGATATTTAAAGAAAGTTAGCTCGCTAATTTCTACACAATTTTGACTGATAATCCTATTCTGCATCAATGTTTATTTTGCTTCTTTAAAAATTCTTTTTATGGACCTCTGTTAAGCAAACGTTTTGTGGCACAGTTCCATATTTAACATCCGTGAGTCATCATACCTTTCCTGTTGCCTCACCAGCAGATTTATCTGATGGTTCCCAGATGCAGGATTTATGCCATTCTTGAAAGTCCTTTCCAAGTTTCTCTGAAAGCAAGTAGCATCCCTGCCCTTCTATGTTAGTTACACAAGAGATGTGAATACATACAAACACTGAGAAAGATGATTGCAAAAATAGATGCTGGATTGATGATTGAAACTGAAATTACTGCTCCTACAAATAAACTGTCTCATTGTGGCAGATAAGGGCCCTGCACAACAAGAACAGAGGAAGAGATATTTTACATGGTTGATTGGTTACATGCCAACAAGTCATTGTCAACTCTAAGCAACCACATAGATTTTCTCCATGATGATCTATCCCTAACCTGATCTTTCAGGGCTTCGAACCACCTGAATATAACACAGTGCAACAGAAGCTCTTTTAAAAAGGAAAAAGGGCCAGCTTTCTGTACAGAGCTTGGCTGCATGCTGCAGGAGCTCAGTGAGACTTATTTCTGAGTGGATATGCATAAATTGGCAAGTACAAATTTACAAAACTCAGTTGCCAATAATATTTGGACTCAATACAGTCATTGTTCCATTGACTTATATCCAAGTACTTGACTTTGGACATTGACCAGACTTATGTAATATTGATTATTGATTGATTGAAGGGCCATCAAGTCATTTTCAACTCCTAGTGACCACATAGATTTTCTCTGTGATGATCGATCCTTAACCTTGTTCTTCAGCTCTTCCATTGGTATACTCACTGGTACTGTAACTGAGTCCATCCACCTTGCTGTTGGTTGTCCTCTTTCCTTCCATCTTTCCCAGCATGGAGGCAGTCAATGTTGGGAATAATTTTTCCCAGTTTTTTTTAAAGATCTCTTTAAATATGTTCATCAAGAACATTTTACTTTTTACATTTCAGCTGCCACATTTTCCATTGGGTTTCAAAGAGATCTGAGATAGTATATAACAATGAAACCTTTTATTTATAATTATTATTGTCATTTGGACTTTTACTGACATAGAAGCAGAGAGGTAGGACATACATTTTTTATATAAATGGATAAATTAAAGCAAAATGTAGTATGTGGGTGGCTGGGTTAAAAATGGCATAGTGGAGGTCTTGCTACTTAAAGATTTCTTCCTCAGCGCATCATGCAAATAGAAACCAGGTTTGTACAGCTGCATAATTTACACTCGGATTTATTTCATGTTCCTTTCTTTGTTTAAAGTGTTTAGATGCTGGCTTTAGAATGCTCTTGTGACTATTCATGGAAGCCACTTAGAAGCTTTGAAACACATTCTTTCATTCCTTAAATATATAAATTATGATTGCTGTTATCCACTGAGAAACCTATGCTACCATCCACTCAACAAATTAATTGATTGACTGATTAAATTTGTATGCTGCCCATCTCCCCCAGAGATGCATTACATGTATGCTCAAGTATGATCCATGTGGGCAAATTCAGTAGTTCATACAAACATTGTATTCAGGCTATAACACACTTGTTGGGACTGGCTGAAGGTCCTGTGATCCTAGCCATTTTGTTATACAGGTAGTCCTTGACTTATGATCATTCGTTTAGTGACTGTTTGAAGTTACAATGGCACTGAAAAAAGTGACTTATGGTCCTCGCACTTACGACCATCACAGCACTCCCACAGTCACATGATCAAAATTTTGGCACTTGGCAACCGGCATGTATTTACGACAGTTGCAGCATCCCAGGGTCACGTGATCATCATTTGCAACCTTCCCAGCTGGCTTCTGACAAGCAAAATCAATGGGGAACTGCGTGATTCACTTAATGACTGCATGATTCCCTTAACAATCACTGCAAAAAAATGTAAAATGAGAGTGCAGTCATGTGATGCCTTGCTTAATGACTGCACCACTTAACGATGAACTTTCTGGTCCCTATTGTGGTTGTAAGTTGAGGACTACCTGTATAAACCAAGTTGATAGCTTTAGTGTTGCTGAATCCAATTAAACAAATCATCCCATTAATACAACCTTATATTTGGGATACAGAGCAGATTTGCAAGTTCTGCAGTTGGTTGAGCCCCCTAGATGACAGTAGAGAGCTATTAGCATCTATGATCGAATACAAGTAGACTTTGGTGATCACATCTTACACTGTTTCTCCCACAACTCATTCAAACCAGAAGCTGGCGCAAATGCAGCTCAAAAACCTGCCACATTTACTTTCTCAGTTTCCCTTCTGGATTTTTAGCTACGTTACCAAATGCAGAAGAGTTCTTGGAAACTGAAAAACATGCAACTTTCGTTTTGTAAATTTTCATTGGCCTAAAGAAGATATTGCTTTAATGCAGGGTTCCCCAAAGTAGTCAGTATCAACCACCAAGGGTTGATGGGACTATCCAAATGGTTGTTATTATCATTATTGATCTTGGGAGACAGCGGGAAGAGCCACAGCCAGGGGAATAGTCGGATAAGAAGCAGCTGAGCCCTCATATAATAAATGTTTGGAGGTTGATGAACAATCTGAAACTTCAAGAAGGGGTTGAAGAGTTTGGGGATCCCTGCTTTTATAGATTTTGGAGAGGACATTCCTGTATCTTAGCCTGTTCCTTGCAAAAATCAATGGGGTACTTTTTCCCCAGCACCACTTCCCTGCGAAGTAGACTTTGGTAGAAGGTACACGTAGATTTCTGCAGCCAAACCTACGTGGCGGGAGCATTCACTTGTCTATTCCTAGTTAGTTTTGTAGTTGCAAACATATGCATGCTAACATGTTTATTTAATTTAGTGTAGCCTTCTCCTAGAGGCATACATAAGACTTCGCTGTAGAAATAGTGATAGAGGTTATTTCCTTCTCTGTGAAACTATCCTGGCAAAAACGGCAGTGTACTTGCTTGTTATATATGGATTACATACCATCGCTGCATGTTTACTACCACTGGCCATACCTACTGTTGCTTACTGTTTTTATTCACTGCTTCAAGGTTTCAACTAATTTAATGGGGGGCTGCCTTGGGCTCTGAAATGGAGATTAGTACTGTAGATAAGAGCTAAGTCAGTGAAATGATTAAGGCAGAGAAATCCTAACAGTTCAGCACGATTATGATCCAGATTTTATGCACCATCAAATGTAGCCAACAGATAGTCGGTAAGGTGTGCAGGATTCAGCCCCTTCCTGAGCCAGAGACAATGGATGGCTACGATTGATTCAACGCAACCGTGAAAACAAAACTACACAGAACCCATTACGGGTAAACGCGCGGGGTGAAGTCTGTCTCGCTCAATAAACTATAGCTAAATAAACAATTACTTATATGCAAAACAGATCCTGCGTCAGTCCCCTATTTGTTACCGTGTCCCGTTGGCAGAGATATCTTCAAGCAGCCGAGTTGAACCCGAAGCATCATTTATTTAGGGGTCTACCTCCAGGATCTGCACCCCCCCCCAAATATATTTCTTGCATATTCCTAGGAGAGGCTATCGGAACACCGCCCACGGTCTTGCACTCGGGTAAAGCGTGCAACCATTCACACGCCCGTGACTCCCCGCCTCCCCTTTCCGACGTGCTTCCTCCTCCTCCCGCGCCGTCTCCAAGCGATAACAGAACGTGGGCGTCCCGGAGAGCTTTTATTTTTGCATAGCTTCCGCTGATCGGCCAATAGCTGGACGAGATGCCCTCCCTCGCATTTGCATAGTGGTCGTCGCGGACCAATGGGCTGGGAGGCTTGGAGCGTGTTTGGAACGCGATGTTGCATCTATCTGCCCTCGCTCGAGTGCTGGCGAGCGACGCCGAGCGAGGGGAATCCTCTAGCGAACTCATCGCGGGGACGGAGATCGGCCCGGGAGAGGCCCTGCTCTTTTGCGGGGCTCGAGACTTGGGAGTTACGCTGCTGTTGTTGCTGCTGCTACGTCCCGAGGTGGAAGTATGTCGGTGGCGGGTCTGAAGAAGCAGTTCCATAAAGCTAGTCAGGTAAGGAGAGCCGGTGCGGAGGAAATCTAGTTGGGTTAAAAATTGCAATCAACCTCGCAGACCTGGCGCCTCCGTAACTGCGTTCGCACGACCCACTAAGCCATCGTGGAGTTTGTTTCTTAGGGACTTGGCTGGGTAAACCCAGCTGGGACGGCTTATACACGATAATATCGGGTGGGATGTGCATCCAGCTGGTTTGCTCAGTAAACCACGATTAAACAAGCTATGGCCTAGCATGTTGTGTGAAAGAAATCCTTGTAGGAGGATGCATGGAGTGGGAGAGGGCAGGCTGCAGCCTTGTTCCAACTGAAGGTCCCTAAATGGGTTGATGGCTGAATTTTCCTGCCAACTTTTCCTCCTGGCTGGAATATCTAGATCTATTTATATATATTAACCTATTCTATCCATTCCGCTTGGGAGGGGGCCGGCTTGAAGGGTTTGCATCCTCCAGGACCCCTTCATTCATTACCCAGAGCAAAGTTGAGTTGGCAGCCCTACGTGCTCAGTGCCTGAAGACATTTCAGTTCCCATTGTGAGTCCTGTGCCTGAATGTCCTTGCATCTTTGCACAGTGTTAGGGTTGTGTGGTGGGTGTGTGCCTACCTTTTTAAAGCATTCGTTGAAATGTAGCGTGTGTGAAGGGACAATAGACACAGAAGGAATGCCCAAGGAGCCTTTGGGGCGGTCCTGTTGCCCAGTGACAGCAACCAGTTCTTCTCTAGCATGTTTACTTCTCCAGCAACTCCGTTTGGGAATTCAGCTCTTCTCTCGCTTGAGGTGCTGAGCCTCATTTGGAGGCTTTTTGCTTTGAAGGTAGCCCCACTGCGTGCGACAGAGTTGGCTCCGTGATGAGCGCCTGCAGAGGACTGTAGCTTGTGTGGCTTTAATCCTCATCAAGGTGTTGCTTCAGCATATTCCTGTGTGGAGCTGGAGAGGTTATTTCTCTCTTCACTGATGTTGAGATCCCGGTTGCCCCTCGACTGGGTGCTGGGCTCATATGCATTGAAACCAATGTGGATGCATTTCTTTTCTGGGTGGGCTTTTTGGGGGCAAACCTTGGCAAAGAAAAGACACCTTGGAGGGTTTGGCAAAGGGCCCATGACGTAGGGTGGGAAATCTCCCAACTTCCTATGTTTTTTAAAATTAGATTTATATCCTACTTTATTTTGTACACCTTAGGTAGGGGTTCCTCATGCTCCCATCTCCTGTTTTCTCCACAACACCTGCTGGCTGGGGAATTCTGGGAGTTGGTCCACACATTTCAAAGTGGCTAAGGTTGAGAACACTGCCCCACAACAGCAACCCTGTAAGGTGAGTTGGGCTGAAAAAGATGGACCCAGCCTAAGGGAAGACTAGAACTCAATCTCCTGGTTTCTACTCCAGTACCTCAACCACTATACAAACTGATTTCACACCAGTTGGTGGATTTCTTTTTTCACTGGGGCACATACATTTTTTCCCCATTGTTTATGTTTGTCCTTTTTTGTTAGTTTGATACCTCTCTGAAAGGAAAAAAAAAAAAACCCTGGTTTGACTTTGTCAAGCAGGACAGGATGCTGGGGGCAATTTGTCAGGGCTGTAATTGTAGTACAACCAGAACCTTGGCAGGAACATCAACCATACTCTCTGGAAATTATTAAGAGTTCCCAGAATTCTAAGCTGTGACCAAGCTGGCTGGGGAATTCTGGGAGTTAAAATCTGTACCTCTGGGGCATCTAGATTAGGAAAGACTGTTTTAATTAGTTCCCCCCTTCCATTTCTGCAAGGGGGGGAAGCTACTAAAAATAAACCTCTGCAAAGAGAATCTGCCTTTCATGCTTGGGTTTCTGACTAACTTTTTGATATTTATTGTGCTTAGACTCAGCCTTTCTTATGTGGAATTTTTTAGTGAGATGCTTTTTTCTTCACCCCTGTTATCCTTAAAACAACCAATGGGAGAGGTTAGGATGATGGATAATAACTGGCTCAAAGTCAAACTCATGAAGGCCCTCATTCTTCTTGACCTGAGACATTAACCAGTACAGCACACTGACGTCTGATGCATTAGAGCCAATACAACTATTTAGTTAGGGTTGTATATTGGCAATAAACTGGGTCTGTTCTTAGACAGGATGACAACAGTCTATTAATATTTCTAGCATCAGAAGTATCAAAGAGTTTTCCTTGAGTCTTTAAGATGCTAACAAGTATATGATGGCCTAATTGTCTTCATCTGGTGGTTAGATAACAAAAGATATGTATTGTGAAATGAAAGTATTTGCATATCATACTAGTTGGTTAAGATGCATTGAGTCAGACGCAGTCCTGATGACTACATGAATAAATGCCTTCAACTTTATCCTCAACCTGTCTCTGTAACTCTCCTGAGGATGTTCCAGTGATCTTGATGTCATCCATCCAGCTTATCCATTGCCTTTTTCATCTTTTGTTCCTTCAATCTTGACAAACGTAATTGTTTTTTTTCTAGTCCATCATCATTTTCATTACATGCCCAAAGTCCATGAATATCTGTTTCTGATCATTGCCTTAGGGAGTTTGATGGATTGCTTGATTAGGTGCCATCAAGTGGTTTTTGGCTCCTAGTGACCACATAGCTAGATTTTCTCCATGATGATCTGTCCTTACCCTGGTCTTTCAGGTTAGGAAAGTAGACTGTTTTTATTAGGTCCAACTAGGACCAATTTGTTGTTTCCTCTTGCAGTTTATGGTACTATTAGTAACTGCCTCCAAATCCAAAATCTGTCTTCCTCCTCCTATTCTTTTTCAAAGTTCAATTTTCAACATTGGACATTATCACTGGAAAGGCCGCTGCTTTAAATCTTGTCCAGGGGTTGCCATCCTCCATAAATCCAATCTTGTCTTGATTCTTTGAGTACAGTACATTGTCTTTAACTATTCTTGAGCCCAAAAAACAAAATGATATATCATCTTCATGTCTTTACAGTCAACAGGGAGTTCATTTGATTTGTGGTAGATGTTACTTTGGGCTACTTAATATGTAACATTAATCCACTTTTTTTTTTTTACTTTCATAATGATCTCCTCTTAGTCGTCTATTTTCAGCTAACAAAATGGCATCATCTGCGTATCTCAAATTGTTAGTGTTTCAACCTCCAATTTTCATTCCAGCTGCCCTATTGTCCAATCTTGCGGCCATTCTTATGTTTGTATACATTAAATGAGTATGGAGACAATATGCACCTTTGTCTTTCTTGCATCGCTTTTCTGAATCCCTCTGTTTTTTCAAACCCAGTCCTTACAGTAGCTTCATTGTAAATGTTCCTTGGAAAAAATAATTAAATGTTCTGATACAGGCATTAGCCTTAATCAATTGTAGGTCTGTACAGTGCTTCAAATTCCATTCAGAAAAGGTTGCTTTGGAATACAAGGGAGAGTGAACATGACATCTATCTGCAACTCACTGAAGCAGCCACTTCTGTTTCCTGAATCATGGGATCTTGGAACCAGACATGTTAGGCTTGCATTCCCCTGAATCTGAAATATTGGATAGCCCTAATATATTTGTGTATTATATTAATGGTTTACAGAAAGGCCTTGTTGTGGTCAATAAACCTTTTGAAATTCTCTTATTCTTATCCATTGCCTGCCTGCCTGCCTGCCTGCCCGCCTATCTATCTATCTATCTATCTATCTATCTATCTATCTATCTATCTATCTATCTATCTATCTATCTATCTTAGAGACTGGCTGAAAGTCATCCAGTTAGCTTCCATGCCTAAGGAAGAACTAGAACTCATGGTCTCCTCATTTCTAGTCCAGTATCTTCACTACTACACTAGCTTTAAACAGTTTAAGGTATTTCATCTGTGCCTGGCTCTTTCCTCTTTGACAGCTGATTTGATTCCTGAATATTTTTTCTCTTTACAAATGTTTCTGTTCTTCTATAGTCCCATTTGTAAAGGCTTTAGCATAATTTCCCCATCTTCTGTTAACTCTCTTAGATCTTTTCCATGATTACTCTTGAATTAGGACTATTCAGTGGTATATTTTCCTGTGATTTCTCTGATCTTAAAACTATCCGTTTCCGTTATTTTCCTCTATTTGATGAATTTTTGATTAAGATAGCTGTCCCTGCTCTTTTGTTTTTGCTTGATGTTGAAAGTCTGCATTCAGTTATCTGACCTAGTTGTCCCAGGCTTTTATCCTCTACCTTTCCTAGTCTGTCATGGTAGCTTGTTCTGAAAACCATCTGGGTCTTTTCTTTTTGAAACATTAGGTATGTTCTTTTCATGTCAGTTGTCACAGAGTCTTTTATCTCTTGCTATAGCTCCTCTGGTTTTCTTTTGCACAAATTAAATATACTGAAATTGTTCCTTACATGAATTTTATATTCTGATTGTACATCTTCAGGTCTTGCAGGCACACCTACTCCCTTCTATTTGCTAAGTTTAACCTGTACAGGTAGCCCTTGTTTAGTGACTGCCTTATTTAGTGACCATTTGCAGTTACGATGGTGATAAAAAAGTAACTTTATGACCAGTCCTCGCATTTACGACCTTCACAGGTCTGTAAAGCAAAGGAAAGCTGAAGTAAGGTCATACGCACAGTTGCAGTTTCACTTAGTTACTACTTTGCTTAACAACCAAGTTGCCGGTCCCAATTGTGGTTGCTAAACGAGGATTACCTGTATATGTGACATCAGTGGTTTATGGTTTGCTCCATAGTTCACACCTGGAGATGTGTTGCTGAACTAGATTGACTATGTAATAGGAAACACAAGTTCAATGTGATTCTGAAGTTATCCATCCAGTGATATCCAGGTGTGGCATCTGTGTTTATGTTATTTGAGGCAGATGTTGGCAATGAACAAAGGATTCTCTTTTCATAGTCTCTTACATTATTGAATTTGCCTAATCTTATCTTTTTGTAATTCCAGGTTCCTCCATTTCTCCAACTTCACATTCCAGTCATCTATTAGTAATATTGCATCCTTTCTAGATGTTGCATTTAGCACCTCTTAGTAATTCACCATAGAAATCC